CCATCGAGTGTGGCAATGTATGTATTCTGACAGGATATCCACACACAAGTGACGTGCCACCAGCTGCTGTCGCCAGGAAGACACGTCTGTCTCTGCGCCGATGATTGGGATGGTGCTGTGATCACCACGCAGATCACCACGACACTCTCAGACGACGCGGAAACGGTGGCACGTAATCGTCCACGTCTACAGGCCTGATCCGGCGACTTCGCGCAGGTTGTCATCGCGCCCGTTCAACGCCACACGACGTTTCTCTGCCACTGCCTACCGTTCTAGGACGCGGCGCAGTGCGAAATCATCGAGCCATGATGCACTTCGGAGTGCGATTTTCAAAAATCAAAAAAATCTCGCCACTGACATCTCCGCCGAGACGTTGAGATAAAAATACGGGACCATGCGCAGCTACGAAGCGCACGCACGCGACCTTCCAACCATCATTGCACCATGTTGCATCGACAGTGACGTGAACGTTGTCGACGCAATCGTGGGCTCCGATTATCCGGATACCAGAAACGCGCGCATACAAAAACCAAGTACAAGGCCGTTTCGCCTGTTTTTCGCGCGATTTTCACGGACTGCAAATGCTGGTCAGTTTTCCTTTTGCGATGCTTGTCGCCGAGTGGCTGCCGAGCCCGTTGCAGTGGGCGTACCTCGTGCTGGCGCTCGCCCTCTCGTACTATGTGCTGTCGCCGTCCCGGTCCCGGCTGCCGCCTGGCGACGCGCCCGTGCGCGGCCACGACCTCTGCTGGTTCCTCCTCGACGACCAGATCCCGTTCATCATCAACGCGTTCCAGACCATGGATCGCATTTCGCTGGACGAAGCGCGGTCGCTGGTGCAAGCCCGCATGGTGGAGAAGCAGGACCGCCTCAAGCACCGCATCGTCTACCACCATGGCCGACCGTGCTGGAGTCCAGACGCCAACTTTAAGCTTGAGGACCACGTGTACGCTGACGTGAATGCCAACGTGCACAACGAAGCCGAGCTCAAAGCGTATGTGAGCCAGCACTACACGCGCGACTTGGACCGCTCCAAGCCGCTCTGGGAGATGATCCTCATCGAAGACTACACCCCGAGCGAGAGCGTCCTCGTCATGCGTTTCCATCACGTTGTCGGCGACGGCATCTCGCTGGTGTCGATGATGTTTAGTGCCGTCGACAAGGTCCCGACGCCAACCGCCGCGCCCGTCAAGGTCGGACAGACGGCCTCGAGTCTCTCGCTGCTCAAGAACGGCGGCAACAACATCGCCGCGGCCATTGGCCAGCTTCGCCCACGGGATGTCTCGCCGTACCGCCCGCCGCGCGTGAGCGGCAAGATGCGCGCTGCGTGGAGTGGCAAGGTTTCGCTCGCGGACCTCAAGTTTGTCAAAAACACATTTGAGTGCTCGATCAACGACGTGGTTGTCGCGTGCGTCACGGCCGGGCTGCGTGCATACCTCGAAAAGACGGGCGGGCTCAAGGCCACGGCGCGCGTGCGTGCGAGTCTCCCGGTCAACCTCCGCGGCCCGTCGCCGAGCGCGAACCGGCATCTCCAAAACTACTTTGGCATTGTCTACTTTCAGTTCCCTGTGCACGAAGCCGACCGCCTGACGCGCTTGCACCTCGTCAAAGCCCGGGCCGCATCCATGAAGGCCTCGATCGAGCCACATTTGACGCTCCTCGGTCTCAGCGTCATTGCCAATCTCCCGCTCTGGCTCGCGCGACCGCTCCTGCATGTCATGAGCAGCAAAGCGACGCTCGTCTTCTCGAACGTCCCCGGTCTCCAAGAGCCGTGCTCGTTTGGCGGCAAGCGGCTCCACGATGTGCATTTCTTCGCACCCGGCGGGTTTCTCCCCATCAACATCTCGGTTCTTTCGTATGCCCATGGCGTCGACTGCAACGTCGGGGCTGATGAAAGCGTCTGCGACGACCCGCAGTACATTGCCGACATGTTCGTGTCCGAATTTGAAGCGCTCCACGCGCTTGCCAAAGCCCGTGCGTCGACGTAAGGTGGTCGTATCTTGTCGATCCCGTCCTAACTTTTTTGTTGTGTGTGTGTGTGTGTGTGTGTTTTCTTGCGAGTGTTATTCAACGTAAGTCTCTTCCCGCAGTGGCGTTAGCGCGATGCTTTGGTTGCCTTTTGGCCACGGTGCCGGCGGCCGCGGCCCGTCGGCGGGTGGTACTTGCGCTGGCAGTTGAAGCACGCGCGGCTGAGCCACGCCGACTTGTTCTGGATGCTTTCCTTGCGCAGCTCAAAGCTCACTGTGATGCCGACGGCGCGGAACGGGTCGGCGGTCGCGAGCTCCAAGAACTTGGTCACGGCCTTCTCGTCGAACGCGTGGCCGTCGGCTTGCATGCGGTCGACCCAGCTCGTGGTCGCGGCGCGGACGTCGTCCGCCGTCATGTCGCAACGCAGCTCGGTGGGCGCGTGGATTTGTATCGACTGCTTCTGGATCTCTTGCGGTGTTGGCGCATCGTAGAGGTACCCTCGCTTGACCACGACCTCGTCGACCGAGTCCTCTGTGGCCGTTGGTGACGCCGACGCGTCGTCGCCGTGGTCCTTCTCGCCCTCGAGTTTGTCGTTATCATCGTCGTCTTGGTCCGAGTCGTTGCCGCTGCGTTCCGACGACGTGCTCGGGCTTTGCGGCTCTTTCTGCGTCGGCTCGTCCGTCGTCAGGTGGGCGAGGAACGGGTCAAACTGCAGTGCATGAAAGGCCGTGCCATCGTCCTCGTCTTCGTTTGCATCGTTGTTTTCTTGCGGCACGTACACGCGGGGTGCTTCGCCAAAGTCATGGAGCAGCATGTCCTTGGCAAAGGTAAACTCGACGTCGTCGGCAGCATCGTCGTCGTGGCGTGGCGCTGTGTCCACGCGGTGGCGCGGCGAGCAGATCATGCCAAAGCTCGGCGCGGGCTTGGCGCTCAAGCTGAGCTCTTGGTCGTTCTCTGAGAGAACGGGAGACCCTTGGGGCTCGAATGTTGGCGCGTCGGTTTCGACCGCGTCCAGTGGATGCAATCCAAGCGACGAAAAGGCGAGGTGGTCGGGCTCGGACGCTGGTAGCGGTGGCGACAGTTCGCTGCTATTGTTGTTGCTGTCGATGCTACTGCTTGGCGAGTGGCGCTGGAGCTGCGGAGGTGGCGCCGGGTAAAAGTAGCCAAACGGCGCAGGTCGAATGTTGGCGCGTCGGTTTCGACCGCGTCCAGTGGATGCAATCCAAGCGACGAAAAGGCGAGGTGGTCGGGCTCGGACGCTGGTAGCGGTGGCGACAGTTCGCTGCTATTGTTGTTGCTGTCGATGCTACTGCTTGGCGAGTGGCGCTGGAGCTGCGGAGGTGGCGCCGGGTAAAAGTAGCCAAACGGCGCAGGTGGGTACGGGCTGCGGTACAGCCCGTACGGCGCGGGCGGCGGCAGAACAAACGCGCTGAGCGGCGGCACCTGCAGCTGGTAGAGGCTACTGTGGATCGCGCTCGGATCGACGTACTGGCCTTGCGACAGCTGCTGTATGACCGACGCGACAAAGCTCAGCGAGGGCACGAGGTCGGGCGGGAGGGCGTGGGCCTGCAGCAGCACGTGGAGGACGTTCGGGAGGTACGGCGTCATCGGCGACTTGGTCGGGAAGGCCATGAGGAGGCTGCTGGACAGCGCCATGCACCGCGCAACGAGCTCGTCGCTTCCGTTCATCGAAGAGAGGAAAAGTGCGCGTTGACGGAGTGGCCGATGTATCCGGATATAGATACCATATCCTCGGACGTATCCGGATTATCCGGTGTCCCTTGGTGCAATGTCGATGGTTAATTCAGTTGTAGAGGTACAACCTCTCAAATCGCATACGTTCGGCAACTTCAACCTCGAATTCCGAAAGACAGGGCGCGTGTTTCGGTGCTTTGGACCATGCAAGGAAAGCCTCGCCGTAGCACCTGCCGCGATTGTTCATTATCGTAGCCTGTGGTTGGTACGCAAATGCCGAGAATGTCCCAGTAGGCACCCTTTTCTGCCGATCGTACAGCTCCGCGTGCCATCCTTCGTACTCGGCGGCGGGGCAACACGGCGAATGAATCTCAATTCAAATGCGACGGCCTTTATGCGGAATGCGGAGGTTTGGTGAGGTGGGTGGCACCGACATAGGTCTCGTTGGCGCTCAGTGCCATGTCAGGGATGTGCGACTTGGAGAGAAAGTGACCTTGGCGTCCGTTTTGAAGCGCGAGGTCCATTTCTCGAAAGAACGCTTCCTGCGTAAAGCCCAAGTGCGCTTCGACCTCGGGTCCGCGATGCAGCTACTCATCATTGAGCGACGAGCAGGGGACGAGAGCGGCGACGTACTTGCTCGGACTTGCGCCGAAGTACGCGATCTCGCCAAGACTCTGCGAGACGGTGCAGCGTTGGCGCCTACGCTCAACCCGAATGATGATGGATATCCATATCGGCGATCGCACCCGAAGGTGCTTGTAGACGACGATGTGTGCCATGCTGGCGAGGGACGACGGCACCAACTCGGCCACAAGCTTCTTCGGGACAATGCCGCAGTGGGGGCACACCCCTACGCCTCGCTTGCAATACAGAGTCGGATCGTTGACGCACCGGAAAGTTCGGCGGCGGCGCTTGTGCGGCGGCCATGGGCGACGCGACAAGGATCGCAGATCATGGTGGAGAAGGCGATTTCGACATGAGGTGCAGTCAGTAGGAGACAGACAACGGTGTCGCTCGTCGCTTTGCCCTTCTTGCCGTCGCCCGACCGAAGAAACCGGTCAATGAGACGCCCATCGGCCTCGCTGAGCTATACATGCACACTCTCCATACGCCGAGATACATGGCATAGAGGGTACATCGTCACTGAGCACGACGAGGTCGTAGCTGGGCACGACATTGTTGACCGCCGCGGCTTTGCTCATCTTGGCAAAGCGCAAGAGGGCTTGCTAGGATGTCCAGCTGACGCGGTGCGCGTCGCCTTACGATGCGTACCTCGCCATTCATCGCGAGGTCCCACTCGAATTGCTCCTTCCGCAAGATCTTTTCATTGGCCACCTACAGGCACACATATACGACAACTTGTCCACGATGCCGTATCTCGGGGATACATGCAGTTTGACGTTGGCCTGGATCAAGAGCGTCCGCGGCGGCTGGTCCATGAGGTGCGTGAGGTTCGCGTTCTTGGTCGTCGGCGCGATGCGCAGGGCTTGTCCCCCCAGACTCGAGACGCTGACCAGCTTGCCCTCGAAGAAACTAGGATTCTATGAGCAAGCCGTTCGTGCACGTACGTTGTCTACAAGAGAAAGGTCGGGGCGGCGTGCACCCGGTAGCGCTTGGCGAGCGCTCGTGACTCGGCCAAGTCGACTTTGACCAGACGATACTTGTGGTTGGTGATGTTGGCTCTAAGAGGGCACAATAAGACGTCACTAGCACGTCGTCGTCGAACGCCTACACGAGCGACTGGGAGAAGGCGTGCTTTTGGAGCGCGTCCGGCTTCTCGCCAAGTACTTGGTGCACGAGCTCGAGGACCTTCTCGGCGTGGCGGCTGAGCCGGTCGTCTTCGCGCAAGCACGCGACGAGCACGATTTGGTCGGTGCCACAGTCGGTGGCCAGAAAATCGTCCAGCTGCGCCGCCGAGACGACTTCCAGGCGCTGGCCCATGGACACGGCGCTGCCTCCAGGCACCTACATGGCATACACCTTTCATATCGACCGTCTCTATAGTACGGCGCACTTGAATGTCAACGCTGTAGCGACCGCTCGCATTGCAGAGCACCGCGGTGCGCGGCAGCACGGGGTTGGCGTGCTCGAGTTTTTGGCGAATTTCAAGGGACGCGAGCCACTGACCGTCCTTGTTTTGAAGCTTCTGGAGCAAATGTTTGGTTTCGTGCGCCTGCATGGGCTGCCCAAAGAGGGTCGGCTCGGTCCCGACTTCGAACCCGGTCGGCGGCAACACGGGCAACTCGGCCAACGTTCGCTCACGCGCATCCTGGAGCCAATGGCCGCTGCAGTACGGCGTCACCTTGCACCCCTACGCGCGATGATTTCGGATGCGTTGACGCTTGCGCACCTCGTAGGCGTCGAACTTGCGTTCGAGGCCCGTGACGACCTCCTTGATGGACGGATGGCGCAGGTCGACGCTTCGTGGATGCTGCTTGCTGCGCTTCTCCAGAGCCGCCAATTCGATGTGTTTTTGTCGCTGCACGAGATTGGGACAGCTCGTATCGACCAAAAGCTTGCCCCGCAGTGGCCCCGACGTGATCCTACTACGGCTTGAACGCGCGTCGTTTGACGAGGCCGTACCGGCGGCTGTGCCCGAGGTATGTGTCTTCGCGCTTGAGCTTCTCGCCGCAGTTGAACTCGAGCGCCACACCGCAGTTGACGAATTTCACCGACACGTTTTTGCGGTCCACGTATTTGAACGTCATGGTTTCGTTGAGTGCAATCACAATCGGGTCCGTCGGCGGCGTGCCCGCGTTCTGCGCGTGCGGGTTCCAGCGCCATTGCTACATGCACAATCTGTCTTATAGTACGTGGACACAACCTTCGTACGTGGACGATGTCATTGTGACCGTCCGAGAGGATCGCGCCGTCTTTGGTCAAGACGAGCTTGGTGCCGTGGGGCTTGCCCGCCGCGCCGACCTACGTGCAAACTGCTAGAATCGGAAAGCGACGTTGAAGAGACATACGACGTGTTCGTCGATCGAGCACAAAATGCGCTTGAGTCGGTTGTCTAGAGTCCACCACTTGTAAGATAATATATAAAGCTGGCATGTTGCGGACTCTCGTAAAAGGTGTGGCGGCGCTGAATCGCATTCACCTTGCTCACACACACGGCGACGCGACCTGTCTCGTAGCTACGCATGTTGGTGGTGCGTCATCGTTAGAAGCGCCTCGTACGTACTAGCAAAAGCCGCAGCCATCGCTGTCGAACACGACAGCCTGCTCGCCTGTCGGGTACGTCAAGTGGAGATCCGCCTTCTCGTCGTCTTTCTTGGCGCCGACTTGTTCCTTGGCCACTAGCACATCCTAGTTGTTGTAGCCACTGTCCTCGTCGACGCGAGTACCGAGCGCATCCAGCGCCTCTTGGTTGTTTTGCATTGCTCAAACTAAGAATAGCGGCTAACTGGAATGAATCTCACATGTCCATTTCTCTTTATTAACATGGCAGTCATCGTCCTGCGTGCTTAGCACCCACCCGCGTAGACAGTAGGGAACGACGAGTTGTTGTTGTTGTCGTCGGGGCACTGCCCGAGGTCCCCGTTTGAGTGATGGGAGTTAGGAGTCATGGTGGTGATGACCATCCTCGTCGTGGTGGTGGTGGTGCCCCGTCTCGTCGTCGCTGCTGCTGCTGCTGCTGAGCGTTGTAGGGCACCGAGACGGTGATGTCGCTCGAGTCGTTCGTCACTGAATCGGACGACGTCTTATCTTTGGTAGCCTTGCATTCCGCAGCTGGCATCGGCTCGTCTTCGTCGCGGTTGGAAAAGTACATGGCCACTTCGTCGCGAAGCTCGAACGATGCCGCGGCCGACCACTCGAGAAGCCCTGTCTCGGGACTCACGTGAAGGTGTTCGAACGGGTCAAATTGGTGCTTGGTGAGTGTGTGCCACCGGCCCATGTACTGGCGGTTCACGAGCGACCCGTGCCAGCTATGGAAGATGGACCCCGGGACATAGCCCAGCTGCACGCCGTACTCGGTCGCGACAGCTTGCCAGTCCAAAATCATCTGCGAGTACGCGGGCGCGACGTTGCAGTTGGACGGGATCGAGTCTTGGGCGCGGCCGAGGATCGCCATGGCCATATGGCGGTCCGCCGAGCCGTACGAGCGCTCGATGAGACCGCCCGTGGCAAGGAAGACATCGCGGTGCAGCGCCCACGCAAAGCCCGGGTGCCAGTACTCTTCGTGGTCGTTCGCGACGTTCTTGAGCGCGGACGCGAGCTTGTTGTTCATGTGGTACTGGTACCCAAAGCCCTTGACGACAATCGGCGTCGGGTTCTCAAGCGTTGCGGTCTCGAAGAGCTGTAGCATCGCGTGCGGGTGCAGTCGGTCGAGCGTGTCGCTCACCACGTGCGGGCTCTCGAACGTAATGTCGGCGTCGACGTACGCAAAGTACTCGGCGCAGTGGGCCGTGCGCTGGAGGATGTTGCGCACCGAGAGGTTGATGAGGTTCTCTTTGCTCCAGATCGCATTCACGGACGGCGTCCGCAGGTTGAGATCGTACTGCCCGATCACGTCCAAGCTCACAAAGTCGAGGCTATCGTACGCGATCTGGGCCACGGCAATCTCGAGCGAGTCCTGGCCGCGGAGCGCCGCCTGCAGCGCCAGCAGGTGGCGGTGCGTTTGCAGCAGGAGCCGCCGCCGGCTCGCAAAGCCTTGCGGGTTGGAGTAGACGAGGATCACATGCAGCGTCCGGGCGCTGGGCGCGGCGACGTCGTGCGCGGCCTCCTTCTGGCACAGCGCGCCCATGCTCTTGGATTATTAGCGGTCTTGGCGACGCGTTACTCACGCCAAGATCTAGAACCGCCTTGATCTTTACGTTTTATTATGCGCCTGCGTTAAAAGGTTAAAAGGCCTCGCCACGCGGTCTCTCGGAACCTGGCGTCCTCAGCATCATCACGCTCGTCATGGCATCGCCCGTCGCAACGGCAGGGTAGCGTGGGCGTCGAACTCGTCGCCTTCGAGCTATTACTCGTGGCTCTTGTTGCTGTTGTTGCTGCTGCGGCCGCCGATCATTACACCGCAGGATGTCGATGGGTCAGCCATGGTCGCTTCCACTTCGACCGCCGGCGGTGGTGCTTGGAACGGCGCGAGTAGCTACCTCCTTACACACGAGTAGCTTTGGTCGACAGAAAATTTCAACCACCGGACGAGACAGGGCAGCGCTGTCTACCGCACGTAGAAGCGATCCTGAACGATCTACATACAGGTACCACTACGGTACATTTCGTCGACGTTGAGATGTGAATGGCGCTGCGAGGGTTTGTTGGGAGGGTGCTCGGCCTGTCGGAGGAGATCCAGCAGCCAAGATCGCCAGCTGGTCAGCGCAAAGCAACGGCTTCGGATGGACGCGCAGCCTCCTCGTGGTGTGTTGCTGCAGCTTTGGTCGTCGTTCTTCGAGCGACGACCGGCGCAACGTGCGAGGTCGTTCGCAAGGCGCACGGACCGGCGTTTTAGCGTCCGTGTATGCGTTATAGTAAAAACGCATGGTGGGTTAAAGTCCGGGCGTACTTTACTGGACCGCCGGTTGGCGGTGGGTTTTAGTATTTGACTGCGACCGACCGACCGACCGCTGGTCATCCTTGCTGCCATGGACCGCTTCGACGTCGACGAGCTGGACTTTGAGTCGGTCGAGCCCGTCCGGCCGAGCTCCTTCGATGGCACGAGCGCGCAGAAGTTTGACATTGCGATCCGCGCCCGGCAGGCGCTGCCGAGCCTGAGCCTCACGGCGACGTGCAATACGAAGCTCAAGCAGCTCGATTGGCGCTTCGTCAAGAAGGACAAGGAGGTGTCCATCCATCGCCTGGAGCGCGAGAAGCACGGCAACTCGCTCACGACGCGCGTGAGCTTCCGCATTAGCGTCGAGATCAAGTCGTACCTCGAGACCATCATGGACGCGCTCGTGCCCAAGTCGCCGATCGAGTACTTGCACATGGAGAAGCGCATGTTTCCCAAGTTTGTCGACGCGGCTGTGTTGCACCAGGTCGAGGACGACGAGGTCTCGGAGCTACCGACGTACCCGCGCCACTGCGTCAAGTGGCACGCGTCGCACCTCTTGACCAACCGCATCACGGGCCGCATGGGCACTCCGACCGACTTTGTCTTTGAAGAATTCGCCGACGTCGAGACCATCGAGAACGTGCAGTGTGGCTTTGGCTACATCCAGAGCTGCGACTACCCCGAGGTACAGGTTATGGCTCGTCCCTTCATGCAACATACTATCGTAGGCGGACCTCCGCCGCGTGAGCGCGCTTAAGTGCAAGCGCGGCCTCATCCGCAAGGGCGTCTTCCTCGTGCAGCCGAGTGCGCCCGACTCGGTCATCCACGAAGTCACGGCCATGTACATCATGGACTTTCCCAAGAACCTTGGCATTAGCGTCGATCGCATCATCTCTGCGTACGCCGATCGGCTGCGCAACATTCGCGAGATGCTCATCAACACGCTCTTCCAGCCGATTCCGATCTTGCCGCGCGACCAATGGGTCGACGACCGGTGGGACATCTCAACGACCTTCATCGTCGTGTCTCACAAAAGACGACGTTGCTAGGTCCCGGCGCGAGTGCTGTGTGTGCACACAGACGTTCACGCTGGTGCGGGCGCGACACCACTGCCGCGCGTGCGGCGAAGTCGTCTGCGGCAACTGCTCGCGCAAGTGGTCGGTGCCCGTCAAGAACAATGGCGAGCTCCTCACGCGGCTCTGCACGCCGTGTTCGCTCAAGGCCCGCAGCAATCTGATGCCATCGGTGGTCCACACCAACCGGTTCTCGCGCTCCAACACGACCTTGGGCCTCGACCCGCCCATGACGGACTTTGAAATGCATCTGCACACGTCGTCGTACCACCCGCATTTGAACTCGCTGCCGCTGCAAAAGCCGATCTTTCACTCGGTGCGCGTCGGAGCGTCGGCGTCGGTCGTCGACGACACGGTGGCCGCCGTCGAGGGCGCGTGGCACCAGCTCGTGACCGGGCCCCTTCAGCTCAATCGACCGCACTTTGCCCTTGTCAACTACTCGTGTGCGCACGACCCGCACTTGATTGCCGAGACACTGCATCGGCTGGCACCCGAGCTTGTTTTCTGTGGCGCGGCGCTCTCGATGGAGAAGGGCGACGTGACGTATTTTGAAGGCGGCGTGGACGGCAAGCTCGACAAGTACCCGCATTTGCTCAGTCTCTGGGGCCTCTACGACGTGGACGGCAGCTTTACGGCCAACGGCGTCGGCTTTCAAGGCATCGAACCCAAGGAGGCGACGCGCCAATGCATCAAACAGAGCATTCTGGATCTCGAGCTCGGCCCGACCGAGAGTCCGGTCCGATACTCTCTTCTTGGATGAGAAACGATTGAAATGGATTCGTAGGACATGCTCTGGCTCATGCCGACCGACGGCTACGAGGAACCCGTGGTCCGAACGGTCGAAGGCATGCTGGACACGTCCGCAACGATCCTCGGTGCGACCAGCAAGCACAGTCGTCTCTGCGGCAGCGGCGCGCACGGCGTGTTTGTCATGACCGACGACCAGCCCGGCATCGTCTTGGCCATGTGCAGTCCCAGCATGCAAGTGACCGAAGCGTACTTTACGTGCTACGAGCCCAACGAACGCGTCTTCTCGGTGACGAAAGCCGACGGGAAGCGCCTCCTCGAGCTCGACCACCAGCCGCCGCTGCAAGTGCTCAAAGACGTACGTCCGATCGTGCTACTATATATGTATCCAAGGCGTGCGTAGGGGCTCGACCGCAACAAGCGCAAGCTGTACATGGGGTCGCGCCAAAAGGTGTTTCCTGCGTTTGGGCGCATGCAGAAAGGCCTTGGCGGCGACGTCTACGTCCAGCAGATCGAACCCGTCGGCGTGCACTCGGACTTGAGCATGACATTGGCGGCGACCATCAAGCGCGACGACCAGCTCCGCCTCATGTCGATGGATACCAAGATGATCCCGGACGACATTGCAGCGGGGTACATGCATCCTATCGCGTGCATTGATGTCCAAACTCTCATGAAATGACACGTAGACTCCATGCGTGCCGGGAGGAGGAAGAAGTGATTGGCTGCTATGTGACGATTGGCGCGAGCATCCTCCAGCACTTGGGCGACGACGCGCCGCTGCTGCGTGACGCGGTGCTGCACGGCATGGGCCGCAACCTCTACTCTGCGATTGCCGGCACCGTCTCGATGACGCAGATTGGCATCATGACGGGCGCGCACAAGCTGTCGTACGGCAACGGTATGGTCGCCGCGCTTCTCATCACCAACACCAAGCAAAAGCGGTCGGTGGAGCGGCGCAGCAGCCGCGCCCAGCGCCGGTCGTTTTAGTCAGCCCTTTTTACTAATTAGCTTATTCTTCTTGCCCACAACGCCTTGTCCAAGGCACGTCCCCATAAAACCGCACAAAAGGGCGCGTCGCACGACTGGCTCGCTTGGGTTGTCGGTTCTGTTGCAGACGTTTTCGGCCGGAAATAACTCGAGGCATGGCGCGTCCCGTGGTCGCGCCGCTCCCACGATCCGGGCCGCTCATGCACGCGATCCCGAGAAAGCTCTCGCTCACCTTTGGCGACCCGTCGCTCGAAGGACAGTACGAACGCAGCCAGTGGGATCGGTACCGCGTCAAGCGCGCCGTGGGCGGGACACTCGGGTTTGTGGCGTGCCTTTGGTGCGTCGTGCTCCTCGCCAAGAACGAACTGCTTTCCGTCTACCACGCGAGCGCGACGTCATGGGTGCTCCCGGTTCTCGGCGGCCTGCAGTGCTGCGTCATGGCAGCGTATGCAAGCTTGGTCTTCGTGAACCAAGGGCTCTGGCGGTGGTGCTGTCTTCGGGCGTTTCTAGCGCTGGCGACGCTGGCGACGGTCGAGCTGCTCGTCTACGCCACAAACCAACCGATGTACCTCATCACGCTGCTTGCCGTCACCATTGCGCTCACGTGGCACATGCGCTTTGTCGAATTCGTCGCGTTCATCGGCGTCGTCGTCGTCTCGAGCGGGGTTGTGTGGGGCGTCACCACCCAAGGTTCGCCTCGCCCATGCTTGCATGATGAATGGTTACGAGTGTCGACTAGATTGGGTCGGGTTTGCTGTCCATGTGAGCTTTCTCGCGGTCCTGACACGCGACTATTACGAGCGCAAGCACACGCAGCGGCTTCGCTTCGTACAGTCCACGGCCGATCTAACCGACGTGGCCGAATTGCCCAGCCCAAGCGCGCACAGTGGCATGGAGCTCGTCCTCGAGACGCTCTGTCAACTGCGCTTGCAATACCCGACGACGAAAGCCCTCGACGTCGTGCTCCAAACGCTCCTCTCCGAGACCGATTTGTTCACGAGTACGTAGTTGAAAGATTGATAGAAATCCATCGGTCTCACACATTGTGCACAGCGTTGCCGATACCCACGGGCGGCGACGACCACGAAGTCGGCGAGTGGTGGCGGCTCCTCGAAAGCACCAACAAGCGGCTTCGGAAGCGGCGCGAGTCGACTCTGCGCGTCCAGTCGCGGCGCAAGTCGGACGTCGCGCTGCAAAACTCGATCGTGCAGCAGATCCGGGTCTTGTACCCGTCGGCCTCGCAAGAACTGCGGGCGCCGACGCTCGCGTCAATTCCGACGGCCGAGCCAAGCATGTTTTCGCCCGAGTGGCTCCTCGACCACTGCGGGTCCGGCTCGATCAACATTTTCGGTTCGCTTGATCGACGACTTGCACCACTGACGACGACATGTAGAGCTCACCCAGCACTGCCAGTACCCCATGACGTCCATCTTGCTCGCGACGCTCGCGCACCAGCACCTCTTTGGCACGCTCGGCGTCTCGATGGGCAACATCGCCGAGTTTGCCATCGAGGTCGAAGGCCACTACCACGCGTCCAACCCGTACCACAACGCCATGTACAACTTGTCTACAAATGTTCCTAGCCTCATGTACGTACTTGCCAGGCACGCGGCCAGCGTCATCTGGGACGTGCACCAGCTCATGCTGCGCGTCACACGACTCAAGCCGCTGCAGCTCTACTCGCTTCTCGTTGCGGCTGCCGTCCACGACGTCGACCACCCCGGCGTCAACAATACCTTTCTCATTCATAGCAACCACCCGCTCGCGCTACAGTACTCGGACGACTCGGTGCTGGTACACTTGCCATGACGGATAAAGAATCCATGCAAGTATCATAGGAGCGGATGCACCTTGCGCGCGCGTTTGAGCTCAGTCGCAAGACCGGGTGCAACCCTTTTCAGAATCTGTCGACCGAAGCGCGCGGCCAGTGCCGGCAGATGATCATCCAGCTCGTGCTCGCGACAGACCTCGCCAAGCACGTGCAGCACGTCAACCACCTCAAGAGCAAGACGTACGGCACGACCGCCGAGACGCGGTACCTCGACGACGACTACACGATGCGAACGCTCTTGATGATGGCCGACATTGGTGCGCTTCCCGTCCTTGTCCCACAGTATTGACTGCTTTGTAGGCCACGCCATGCAGCCGTTTGAGCTGCATCAGAAATGGGCCAACCTCGTGCAAGAAGAGTTTTACCGCCAAGGCGACCTCGAAGCCGCCCAGAAGCTCCCGATTTCGCCGCTCTGTCAGCGCAAGGACGCGAGTGCGACCAAGTTTGCCAAGAGCCAACTTGGCTTCTTCGAGTTTATTGTCATGCCCCTCTACTCGATCGCGGCCGCGGTCGTCGAATTCACAACCATCCAAGACGTCGTCGACAACGTCGACGCCAATGCGGCGGAGTGGAGGAGGCAGGCCGACGCCGACGCCGTGCCAGACAAAAGTAGATAGCAGGCCAATAAAAATATCTCATCTTTGCAGCCAGGTTGATAGGCATCAGCTGGCCCGTCTACAGTGTACATTGCAGCGCACGTCCCATATGACCCAAGCTAAAACCTACTTTGCATCCGGAATTCGTTCCGGATACGATCTATTTGTACCACACAATCGAGCTAGCGTCGGCCCAACGCGATGGTGCACTCGTGGAGGATTAGACAGTGCAATAAATAGGGTCGATGCTGCGGTCGATGCATGTACCGTACGTAAGCTCACTCTGTGGTGCGCCAAAGACACGACAAGCATCCCGTCATCAGCCGCATTCAACTGATGTTTTGTATGTGCAGGAATTGGCCGTCGACGGGGTACGAATTAGGGAAAACGCCCGTGGACCCGAAATTTGGGATCGCCGCAAGTGCACTTTCGAATTTGCTTGTTACCTCGACGGGAATGGCGCCAGCCGAACGTGACCCACTCATCGCCTACCCATCCGAGCGCGCCCGGTCGCGCTGGACTGCGCGCTTCATCGCCTACGCGGCCGCAGGTACATCCGCCGTTCGTAGCTTCGTTGGTCTCAGCACGTGCGTAGCGCTGGTGCTGGCGGGCTGCGGCCTCGCCGCGTCGCTCCATCCGGCGCCGTCGCCCCTCCATGACGTAGTCAGCTCAGCGCTTGCGCTGGACGCCTCATTGCCTCGGCGTCCGGCCCACTGCCCGCACATTGCGCCGCACGAGCGCGTCGTGCTCTTCTGGCAGTCGGAAGTCGGCGGCTGCGAACAGGTAAATACTACACCACGCCGCCCGTCGTCGTCGTCGTGTCGTGACGTAATGTATTAGATTCCGGACGGCGTCACGCATGTCCTCTGGGGCTTTGCTCAAGTCGAGGCGGGCGAAGTGATTCCGCGATTCCAGACGCCGGACGCGCTCCTGACGTCCTGCGTGCAGGCGCTCCGCGCGTACGAACCGCCCCGTCGCATGCCCATCCCACTGAACCAATTGGTAGGCGCTGCATCTACTCGCTGGGCGTCGTTGGCGGTGCCAACAACAACGTCGGCATGGCCAGCATCCGCGACCCGCCGCGCTTTGTCCGGAGCGTCATGTCGCTTGTCGACAAGTTTCAGTTTGACGGCATCGACATCGACGACGAGACCAACTACCTCGAAGCCGGCTACAGCAGCCGCGCGATCGTGTCGTACATGACGGCGCTCCGCAACGCGTTCCGACCGCTCAACCTCTTGCTGACGTACGACGCCTACATGATGGAGGCCAACCCGCATTGTTACAAGGGCATGCGCTGCTTCGCGAGAGGCGTCGAGCGCCTCGTCGACTGGGTCAACGTCATGGCCTACAACATTGACCGCGACCCGAAGCTCGCCATGGTATAGATCCGCTTTGCTCCAAGAAAAGCAGCTCACTTTTTTCGACAGCCCATTTACGAGGCCGCCGTGCACCAGACGTTTCCGCAGTGGCAGCGCCACGTGTCCAAGGACAAGATCACGGTCGGTATGTGCACCGGGTCGGGCTGTGCGTGGGGCCCTGGGCCGTCGCCCGATGTCGTCGACGCCTACATTCGCTATGCCAAGGGCGCCGGTGGCATCATGATCTACGCCGGTTCGGCCGACATTGACCAAGGCTTTGTGACGACCAAATCCGTTGTTGCTCGTCTTCATCCGCAGTCGCCGACGCAGTTGGCCGTCGCCACGACCGCTCCGCCTGCCATCGTGTCGACGCCTGCGCCAACCACGGTGACGCCTGCGCCGACGACGGTGACGCCTGTGCCGACGACGGTGACGCCTGCGCCGACGACGGTGACGCCAGTGCCGACGACGGTGACGCCAGTGCCGACGACGGTGACGATGGCGCCAACGCCAGAACTTTCGACGGTGACGCCGGCGCCGACCGAGCCCGGTGTGCGTCCCGATGCGATCTGCGGTTCGTGCTTCAATTGCTTCTACGAGCCGATCAAGGGTTGCTTTGATGGCTGGTCCGAGGCGCAGTGCAAGAGCCTGAGCTTCACGTGGTGCGGATAACCATCGTACAAACGCACGCTTTGTGTCTTTGAGTACCTTCTCGCATCGACAGTTCCTACTGTTCCTACTGCAGAGCGTGGTAGACCAACCGACCCGCACACGCGCATGTGACCCAGACAGCTCCTCAGCACAGGTCGCTTGTCCCTTATCCCCGGTGCGTTTCGTGGTGCTGTTGCGGATGAAATGCGGTCCACTGTGTTGTGCAGACACATGCGCCAGGAACGACTCCTGGCGAGGCGCGTTGGTTGCGTGGGATGAGGGTGTGGTGAGAGTCTAGCAAAGCCTCTTGGCGCGTGCATTATTGAAGCGAGAAGAGCTTGACACTGGCGTCCTCACTGCAGCTGAGCAGCGTCATTTCGTTCGGGTGCCACGCCAGCCGAGTGACTTTGGCCGCGTGGGCCGCGACGACTTCGATGCGACGCGTCATCTGGAATCGACCAGCCGGCTCGGTGCGTTTAATGTCACAGAGCACAATGAGCCCCGACTCGAGACCGACGGCGAGCACTGGTGTTGCGCTCGTTGGCGCAAAGGCAACGGCCGTCACAGCCGCGGGCAATATCATCGGCGCCGCCACCTACAACGACGTATCCATCTTGAAATTTGGTAGACAGCACGGTCCTACCTGCTGCCAGACACCGGCCACGAGCCCCCAGAGTGCAATGGTCTCATCGCGCGACCCGGTTGCAAGGACGGCTTCGTGCGGCAGCCAGTCGCAGCTCCAAATGATGCGCTTATGCGCCTTGGCTTGCTTGTGCACGAGTGTATAGATGCCATTCGATTCCGCAAAGATGCAGAGGCTGCGGTCCTTGGAGACGGACGCAAGGTACTTGTCGTCGCTGGAGAAGGCGAGCTGCACGACCGACGAGCTGTGGTCTGGCAGCTGCTGCGCTGCCACGAGCGACGTGCTCGCCTTGTCTCTGCGCCAGAGCCAAATTGCCGCGGCCGACTCGTCCCGCGCCTTGCACGTCGACGCCAAGAGGTCACCGGCATGATTGCGACGCACGCAAAGCAGCTCGTTGCCGTGGCCGTAGAGCTTTTGTACTTCGGGCCAAAGCGACCGGCGCGCGAGCTGCTCGCCGACAATGGCCGTGTCGTCCATGTCGCCGCGCTTGTTGGTCAAACTGAGCTCGGGGAGAACGCCAAAGCCGCCGCCAGTCGCCGCACCGCCGACGAGCGCGTGCATGCCGGACGGCACGTCAAAGACGCGGAGGATCTTCTCGTCCGCACCGCTCACAAACTGCGCGTCGCTCAAGAACGTTGCGCACTGCAGGTCGTAGCCATGCACCTGGGCGCGCGAGACCTCGCTTGTTTCGCAAAGACGGTACGCCCGCGCCGTCTGGTCCAGCGAGACCGAGACGAAGAACGCGCCTGACGGCGCCCACGCCACATCGGTGACCGGTCGGTTGTGTCCCGTGACGGACCGCGCTGGCACGTAGTGCGCGTCACTTTTCGTCCAGCGGTAGAGCTCGCCGGTAAAGGTGAGCGCGACGAGGTCGGCACCAAACGACGTGGCGGCCAGGAGACCAAGGCCACTACGTACATCGCCTTCGAGCCACCGAAAAAGGGAAGAAGACGCTACCCGAGATCGCCGATGCGGGTTGTGGGATGCCACGCCGCGCCGTCCTCTGCCGCCCAGAGGATAAGTCGGTTGTCCATGGAGCTCGAGAGGAGCGAGTGGGTTGGCGTCCAGCTTACGCTCGTGACCCAGTCGTCGTGGCCCACGAGCATCGCGTCAAATGCTACGTTTCTATTCCAGCGTAAAGGCGGCCATTCACCAAGGAATGGCGGTCGTACAGCGCTGCGTCAATGCGCCAGAGGCGGATTTTGTGGTCCTGGGCGGCCGACGCCAAGAAGATATCGCCCGAGGCGAGCGGTGATGAGAACGCGAGGTCCCGCACCCAGCCCTTGTGACCTAGTATAGGCTACGATGAGTGGAGGCAGCGTGACGCGTCGACTCGACCAGCATGCGAGCTCACAAGCGAGAGCGCTTGCAGCGTCGGATCAACCGTGTAGACGTGCACGAGAGCATCGACGCCACCAAGCGCAAGCAGAAGTGTGCCGCGGCCGTCTTGGGCAACGGCAATGGCTTCGGCGATGTGCCGCTCGCTTCGAGACAGCGTCGCTGATGCACTTGTCGCTGGCTCAACCACGACGATGTCGCCGTTGGAGAGCGCTGCAAAGACGAACAGCTGAGATGACGCCAGTAGTGTCGTGCAGGTCAGCGCCGAGACGGACGACGCCGCGCCGGCGACGACAACCTCGGACGTCCAGGCGTTGGCCGCGCGGTGCCAGAGGCGCACCTCGCCGCTGGCATCGCCCGAGACAATGCACGCTGAAGCATCGTGCCAGTACACTAGAGCCACATCAGTAGGAAAAGGCAGACGCGGGCAGCGTACCGCAGGCGACGCGCGCCTTGTGGCCATGGAGTGTGTGGACGATCGTCGGGACCGCCGCCGTTGCGCTGTAGCGCGCGATCGCCACCATGGTCGAGGCCGCAAACGCCACCTCGTAGCCATCCTCGCAGCCAACTGCGCGGGACATGCAGTGGCTGCCATTGTTGCAGCCGACGGCCACGAACGCGTCGTGCAGCGCCGTCATTGCAGTTGGGTCCACTCCAGAAATCCGGTAAACAGTGTTTTATCCGTACAAGACAGCAGTCGCTTTGTATCAAGTTATCGAGTCGTGGGTCTGTACTTAAGCGCCGCAGACGCTCGCGAAGCCGAGGTCGATGCCCTTCTCCACGTCGTGCTTGGCGGTTTGGTAGCCAATGTAGCCCATGCAGAGCGCCGAGAGGCCGATCGTGAACGCGAGAATGTACACGAGGAGCGACGTCCGGTTGTACTTTTTCAAGAGGTACCCGACGCACTAGACACGACAATAATAATAAAAATGAACCAACCCCCATGGACAATATTGTACATCCTACCTTTTGGCCAAAAAGACCGCCGCCAAAGCCCACGAAAATGTACCAAACCACATAATCTACCAAAAAAACGAGTCAAAATTGATATCACAAGAGCGCGCGAGTCGTACCGTATTGGAGCTGGCCGGGAAACATGCCCGCGATCGCAAATTGGAGCGTGGTCGCCGAGGACGTGAAGAGAATCATAAACGACGCGGTCGACGTTTGCACGACCGGAAGGATGCCGTTCTCAAGCATGACGGGCCCCTTGACCATGCCCCCTACCCCGCATATCGTGGGTCCGATTTTTTAAAGTCAGGAGATACCGCCAATGCCAAGGAGGCCGGCGGCGATGCCTGCGAAAAAGCAGTAGAGCGGAAACACCACTTGCGTTGTGCGCTTGGTCCAGTGGACGTCGCCGTCAACGAACGGCGTGCCGCTCACGACGAGGAGACGGTTGCGAAGGCGGAGGTTGAGTCCCATGTGGCTACATCGACAAGAATCCAGCATACACTACTAACAAACGACACGTAGAAACGTACTAGGTAATGTACACGAGGACGAGGAGCGGAGTGAACGTCAGGGCCCAGTACATGGGCGAGCCGCAGTGGATTCCAACTACAAAGTGCCAATAAGAACCAAAACATAGAGGTTGCTGTACCGAGGCTGGGCGAGCCGTGGCCGCCAAGAAAGAGCATCTGCACGAGAAGCACGACCCAGCACACGACGAGCGGGAGCACGCAGCGCCACGGAAACACGATGCTCTCAAGGCGCTCAATGTTGAGCTTCATCTCCTTGAGAAATGCCTTCTTGTCTAGGCAAAAGTGATTTAGGAGATCGAATCCGAGAGCCTTGGGCTGCGTACTGGCGACGGGCAGGTCCAGCGGCGGCAGGCTCTGAAAGTCTTCTTCGTCCTGGGCCACGAGCGCCCGGCGCTTCTTGTTGGTGCGGGTGAGGAGCAGCCATTTCTTGGCCGCGACCGCCGCCGTGATGCGCTGATGCAAGCCTGAGCATGAACTATTGGGTGAGTGATGTGGTTGTACCTGGCGCTTCTCGTGGTACATGAGCGAAAGCGTATCTTTTGGCGACTGGATCGAGTTGCCGTCGCTGGCCGCTTTTGCAAGCTCGATTTGTTCTTTGGCAAAGAGCTACATGGTCAATAGGATCGTCGAGTGCGTCTGTGCTAATGTACCTTGTTGCCCTTGAGCGTCGTCTTGTACGAGATGTACGAGAGGAGCGTGATGAGCAAGACGAGGATGAGCCATGGGGGAAACGTGCGGTTGGCCATGACGCCAAAGATGGTGCCAATGAGCGTCGGCGGCTCCATCATGCCTGCGAGCGCATAGTCGATGACCGGTCGGTGCGGCTTGTCTATCGCAAAATTGATGTTTGAAACGCAAAATGTAACAATCGTACGCGGGTGTTTGCGCGGGTAGTTGACGAGGAACGTAGCGACGGCCGCGCCAAAAATCGTGGCTTTCGAGAGCGGGATCGCGTGCTTGGGGCCAAGGCCCACCACGAGAATGTAGAGCGGCACGAGGAGCCCGCCGCCGCCGACGCCGCAGCCCGCGCCGAGGGCGGCCGCAAGAAACGCCATGAACGTCGAGAACGCATCGGCGCGCGTGAACGGGGCAAAGAGGTCCTTCTCGATGCAGTACGTGACCGGGTCGAGGCGGAACGCCGCCGTGTCCGAGGTCGTTGGCACGCGCACGAAGCGCCCGCTCTGCACATGGCAGCGCTTGGAGCCATCACTCAGCGTCGCGCCGCACTGCGCGTCGGTCTGGCAGTAGGCGCAGAGGCTACAATGCAGTTCATGTTGGCGCTATCAATGTAGGAGCGTCGTACTTGTTGATACAGGCGAGGCCAGGCAAGAAGCCGCAGTCGTCGCGCTGGCTGCACGAGGTGCCATACAAGGCGTCGGCCACCTGCACGGAGGTCGTGTTGGCATGCAGGCGCAAGCTCTGCGCGTGGGCGACGGCGGCGACGAGGCCGAGCGCACAGAGAGACGACCAGCGCAGCAGCAGCATCCCGTCCACGTCGTCCTCGACTCTCGAATGCGACGATGATTCCAAGCCCGTACATTGCTGCCGTTCGCGACTTGAATGTACGTTGTACGATGTACGAGCACCGGATATTATCCGGACTGATATGTTGCACAAACAAGAATACAAATGTACTATGTATTCACTTGCGGGGTGTTCGTTGATCCCAAGCAAGCAGTGATAGCGACGGTGATAGCTACTCCCCCTTTCTGCCCGGACGAGCGCGGATGCGGCCTGGACGCTCCAGGACGCCGGTCCCCTTCAACTGCAATGGCCGTATTCCCTGTGTTGGAATTTCAGCCAATCCGCATCGCGCATCAACATTGGTTAGCCAATCACTGCCGCAGATCTAGCATCTCTGGCGTACCCCGGAGCACACAATCAGTTTTGGACAAGGTTTCGAGTCAACTCCGGGGCATGCGGGGCACGGGACAGGCGCCATCAGTTGGCTCGCTCACCCAGTGGCATTCCACCTTTTGACGCTGACCATGAGGCTGCTGCTGGGTGCGACTGCGCTTCTCGGTGTTGCTGCTGCCACGACGTCGCCCATCTCGCTTATCGTGCAGCCCGACGAGATGTTTGGCGCAACCTGCGGCTCCATCGCCGACTGCGGCTTCCTCCCCGGCCTCGCCTGCGTCGACTCGTACGACGCCACACCTCGTCGCCACCGCCTCATGTGCACGTAGGTTGTGCCACGTGTGCAGCACCGACCGCGACTGCACGGGCTCGGACAGCGACTTTAGCAAGCGCTGCGTGGTCGCGTCGACGGGCGCGCTGGTCCGCCTTCCGAACGCGACGTTGCAACCGCTCGCGTACTGCATGGAGAAGAACATGTTTGCGCCGTTCTCGCTTGCTGACCTCATGGCCTCGGCCCTCGCCTTTCTCTGCACGGCGCTCGGGTCCGCGTCCGGCGCCGGTGGCGGCGGCCTCCTCGTGCCCATGTACATTCTAGCGGTCGGTTTGGGCCCGAAGCACGCGATTCCGCTCTCGAAAGCCACGATTTTTGGCGGTGCCCTGGCCACGTTCTTGTCCAACTTTCGCAAAAAGCACACGTGTATGGATATCAATGTATCAATGTATCGACGCGTGGAGGGTGATGGCGTGTGTAGACCATCCGCGCCGACCGGTCATCGACTATGCGCTCGCAGGCATGATGGAGCCGCCGACGCTCATGGGCACGATCTTTGGCGTCATGGCGAACGCGACATTTCCGTCGTGGCTCATCCTCTCGCTGCTCGTGACGCTGCTTTCGTTCATGGCCTACCGCACGCTTCAGAAAGTGCAGCACGTACGTTCTGCCACGTCATTTTGAGCAACGTTGCATGGATGGATTTCTCCAGGTCGAAGCGCAGGAAGGCCGCGCACGCGGCGAGACCAAGGTGCTCCTCCCGACAAGTGTCCAAGCCGACGCCGAGGTACGCATGGTGCGCGATCGAATGCGTCGACGAGGCGAAGTAGCACCAAGCACGCACGCGCCAAGAAGATGAAGACGACTTTGCCTCGTTGCCGCCACTCGACTTTCCGCCGCATGCTGGTAGACAATTCTGCACACTGAAATCGATGGCGACAGAGAAGACATGTAGACAAGCAAGCGTCCCTCGATGCAATCCGGGCCCAGCTCTACGAGGAAGAGCGTTCGATCTTCCCGCTCACGTATGTCCTCCCGCTCGTGGCATGCTGGGTAAGCCCAAGGAGTGAATTGATGTATCTCATTCTGCGTGTGACTAGCTCATCATTTTTGTTCAATCACTCTTTCGCGGCGGGCATGGCACGGCCAGCATCGGTATGACCTCGCGGTTGTGACTCTCTTGCTCACGCTGTCACGCTCCTAGTCGGTGTGCCTTGTGGCTCGTCCATCTACTGGGCTCTTACGTTTGTGCCGCTCCTCTTGCTCATCCTCATCACGTGGTATGGCCTTCGTGTCGAGTGTTGCGAGATTGCATCCATCTGATGTAGGCTCATGGGCCACCGCCTTCGCACGCGCAACCGCCTCATGGTCGTGAGCGGCACCGAGTTTGCCCAAGGCGACGTGCACTGGACCTATCAGAAGGCGCAAATCGTGTTCCCGGCCTACTGCTTCGTTGCGGGCATCGCGTCCGGCCTCCTCGGCATTGGCGGCGGCATGGTCCAGAGCCCCATCATGCTCGAGTACGGCCTTTTGCCCGTCGTCTCGTCCGCGTCCGCGTCCTACATGATTCTCTTTACGTCTTCGGCAACGACGCTGCAGTTTGCGGTCGCGGGGCAATTTCCCGGCCAGCGCCAATACGGTACTTTCGCATTCTCGATTTGGATTCGGACCGATCGGATATGTAGATTACATTGTGTGGTTTTCGCTCATGGGCTTTCTCGGTGGCATTTTTGGCCAAAAGGTATAGTGTCACATTGTCCTATCTGTGGCTGACGCGATATATTGTCTAGTGCGTCGGGTACCTCTTGAAAAAGTACAACCGGACGTCGATCCTCGTGTACATTCTCGCGTTCGTCATCGGCGCGTCGGCGATCGCGATGGGCGTCGCAGGCTTCCAAAACGTCGTGCGCGACTTCTCCAAGGGGGTGCACCTCGGCTTCTCGGGCCTTTGCGCCGTCTAAATTGCCACAATGGACTTATGTTTTTGCCTCATTTCTCCCATCGGTCGGCTGGTCGTGGGCTCGATCCTATGCTTGCCAGTACGGATGGGTATCGATCTCTTGCAGCTTTCTCTCGCAATATACTCGATGTACAGTTCCTTCATCAGCGTGGCATCGTTAGTCGTTGGCGTTGGTTGCAATCGCAATGCCGGCCTCTCCGCGTGCCACGTCAGCTCCTCGTCCTGGCACCAGATGCTGGTCGTGGAAAGTACCTCTTCTATTTGATATTTGGGTCGCGGCCTGGCCTGATTTGACCTGCAGCAATCGATATCCTTGTCCAATGGCATTGGGTTTGACGCGTAAGCTTGGTGACGATGACGCTGCTGGCTTGCTGGCGCCGGCTACGGATGCCCCAGTGGCTCGGCGGGCCTACGCCCCGGACGACGCTGCGTCTGGTTCTCTTCGTGCTGGCGTCTGCTGTCTACTGGCTCTTTCTTGTCGCGGCGGCGATCGTCCTCGGGCTTCGCGTGGCGTACAACCATGTGACGCACCTCACGCTCCGCTGCCACGACCACGCGCTGTCGGCCCGCGCGCTGGCCCAGGCCGCGCTCGCCACGCTATATAGTCTTGACACGGCTGTACTTGGTATCTACGATCCGTCGGTGCTAAACGGCCTCGTGTGTCCTTCCTCGCCCGACGACATTGTCGAGATGACGCCGTTCGCAGCGTACATTGTGCTCTGGAAAGGCGCCGTGGGCCTTCTCTGCTTCCAGCTGCCGCTTCTGCTCTGGTTCATCGCCATCAAGTGTGCCAAGCGCTTCTTTGACCGCGACTACTACGCGTACGAGTTCTACCCCGAGTGCTCGTTGGAGACGCGGCCGTTCGTCCTCCTCCATGCGTGCGCGTACGTTGGCTTTGGCCTCGTCCTTGGCCACATGCTCTCGAGCCTTCTCCTGCAAAGCGCCTTGCACTGGAACCGCGTCATCTATCCTACGCCGTCGTACACACCCTTTGACGAGAAGGCGACGCTGCTGTCCTCGACAATGTCGTCTTCCGTCGACAGCAAGCGTCCTCCGCCCTACGAAATGCCAGCAAGAACGCGCAGCGAGAACGATGCTAGCCGCCTCGATGGCTACTTGGAGCTCTGGCAAGCCGTGCTCGAGAGCATCCGTGTTTCAGAAGGAGGCCACGCCGCGCTTCTCGCGTGTCTAGAGGACACGACGCGGCTCGCATGTAGCACCCTCCGTGCGACACCAGAGCAGTGGGCAACCTTTCGCATGCTGGTCCAGCGACAAGTGCGCCTGCAACCGACGCCGACGCCGGTGGCCCGCGAAGAAGTGCTCGATGATGACGACTCGGTCGTCGACACCTCACCAGTCGCATTGGAGAAGCCGGCACCTGTGTTGTTCACCCGCGCCACGCACACCGAGACCGACCGCGACTACGATGTCTTCTACACCGACGCCAAGAGCTCGATAATCACGAGCATCTACCGGGACATGCCGGATCCAACGGCATGGGTCTCGCCCACTGCGTACAGCGCGACGCGAGAACTGACATACGACGAGCCCGAGCGCAGAGATCGCGCCGCGGCGTCTCGCGCCCTCGTCTCCCGTGGCGTTCACCAAGCACTGGTACCCACATCACGGACCGACCGCGTGCACTTTACAGCGTATGCGCCGCCGTGCGTGTCGCCAGCATCGAGCTTCTCGCATGCAATCTGGGCCTTCCTCGTGCACCAGCGCGACGAGGTGCGCGAGGCAGCCATGGCGGACGGCGTCGCGAAGCAGCTCTCGCGGGACCTCCTGCTGCATGTGCGGCGCGGCGCGTTGGTGACCATCTCGCTGCGACTGCCGGACGGGTTCCGACACGCGGGCGAGGCGTCGCAGCTGCTGGCGTGGCGAGGCGACGTGACGCACGTGGCGTTCGAGGTCGAGTGCTGTGATTTCTGTGCCGAGGGCCAAGTGCTTTTGGAAGCCACGATCGTCGTGGGCACGTCGGTGCTGGTGCTGCGCTCGTACCTCTTTGTGTCTGCTCTGCGTCGTCTAGATACGGCGACGCAAGTGCAAGAGCTCGTGAGCGAGCTCGAAGTCGTTCCCGAGACCTTTCACGAGATTGCGTACGGCGACCTGACGCTCAAGGAGGCGGTCGGTCACGGCCACTTTGGCGACGCCCATCGCGCCACGTACCTCGGCCAAGACGTATGCCGTCGTTCCACAGAGTCTGCGACGATCTCATCAATCGAATCGTGTAGGTGGTCGTCAAGACGCTTCGGCCGAGTGAGTTTGGCGACAACGCCGACCAGATTGTGGCTGCGTTCCGGCACGAAGCTGCGGTGCTCTCGCTGTTTGGGCACCACCCCAACATTGTGCCATTCGTGGGCGCGTGCACGGACCTCTCGCAGCCGCTGAGTCTCGTGACCGAGTACCTTCCGTTCGGAAGCCTCGAAGACCAGTTTGGCGCGCGCCGATCTCGGCTCTCGACGGAGCAAAAGACGCGCATCTTATGTGACGCGGCGTCGGGCTTTCTCAACATGCACGAAGGCGGCTTTATCCACCGCGACATTGCGGCCCGGTACAACAATTCTCATGCATACCAATGTACTGACGAGCCTGTGTGTAGCAACTGCTTGGTCGACGACCAGCTGCGGGCACGGGTGTGCGACTTTGGCTTGTGTCGACGCGTGCACTCGTACGGCGGCGGCCACTTTGCGGAAGGCGCGATGCCGCTCAAGTACCTCGCGCCCGAGTCGCTCACGCCACCCCACTCGTTCTCGTACCGGTCCGACTCGTACTCGTTTGGCGTCCTCATCTGGGAGACGTTCACCGAGTCCAGGCCGTTTCCGACAATGACGAGTGCCGAGGCCGCGGCACATGTGCTCGAGGGCCACCGTTTAGAGCTTGGCGAGACGATTCCGACGCCGTACCAGTCGCTCATTGCGCGCTGCCTGCAAGACGATCCGGCCAAGCGACCGTCCATGGCCACCATCGTGCAAGAGCTCACCCACGCGATGGCTCGGAAATGATTCTTCGTCACATGTAAATTATTCAACGTCGTTGCGAAATTCGGGAAATTGGCCTGGAATTGGTCGACCCAATACCGTTGCAAAGTGGAGGATGTGCAAAGTCGACCGTTCAAGGACTTGTTTCGGACGGTCGGAACACCGGGCTACAGCGCACGACGAAGCGAAGACAGTCCAATATCCGCACCCAGTGAGATGCCGCGTAGGTGAAGCAAGGTGTTAAAAACGCTTTTATGTGGTGTCGGTCATTGCGCACACTGTACGACTGCAACGGTGACACAACGTGGTCTGCTCTACTCTCCACAGTGCCTTCTATCACTGTGCCAACTATGGGCGATTCCATTTCAAACTTGATTTCGTCGACCAAATGGCACCGGCGGCCTGGTGCAGAGCCTACAAAAAGGCACTACGATCTTATTTCTGGCGTTTTGCCACAATTGTATCTTAGATCGGGCTCGCTACCGGTATGCGCTTTTGACGTCAACGCTACCGTCTCTGGCTGTACAAATTTCGTTAGCTGCCCGTGCGGTGGCGGCGAGTGACATTAGTAGGGTTAGGTTCTTGGTCGAGACGGGGCTACCTTCTCGATCGCGCGGACAAGCGTATCGATCGCTGCAACGCGCTCGTCTGGTGTCTAGAGCAGTGGCGTCGCGTGTAGTAGATTGTATGTTCGAGGAGCGCGGTGGAGAGTCTCCATCGCGCTCCTCAAGTAGTCCTTTAAAAGTGTTAAAGGACTACTTGCTGGATGTCCGCGATCGTCGACTTGCTTTCGGAGCTCTCTGCTTTGGGGTCAGCTAGGGCGGTGGCTAAATTAGCCATAATTGCTGGCACTGGTGCGATTAAGCTGCTTAGAATGATGTCCGTTGCGTCGTCGAGGGTCGTTGGGGTCTTGGGTACTGCGTCTGGTTCAGACGTGCAATGGTCGCGTTTTGCTCTTCAATGGTGGGTGGCGCCACTGCGAGCTCTGTCGCGAGCTCCTGGATTTGGGCTTGCGCAATCTGGAGTGGCGTTGCAGCTTTCGGGGCAGGCGTCGCTGAGCGCACTGGTGCTGGTTTGTGGTAGCAGCTGCGGCTGCTGTCTTGCGGAGGTTGAACGCCGGCTTGGTCGTCTTGGCCGCCAGCTTGGTCGTCTTCGTCGTTGGGCGGGCCACGGCTGTCTTGTTGGGTTGTGCCTTTGGGCTCGGCCC